GAAAAATATATCTTAGATTTTACTACGAAAACTTTGTAAGGATATTTTCGATTGCTTAAGGCGCCGAAGATATTAAAATAGATATTCAATTTTCGAACGTTTTTGACATTCGATATCGATTTTCAGAAGTTTTGTTGTCTAGTTATTTTTTAATGCTTTTTATTTATAAGTTTTTTGAAACTAATAAAAGGGTTTTGAAAAAAAAAAGTATCAAAAACTTTCAGCCTATACTGCAGAGTCAACCTATGGAAAATTTTTTTGTGAAAAACTGCTCGAAACCGCGGTTTCACAAACTGCGGTAATCAACGGTTTTCGAAACCGCGAAAGTCAGACCTTTTATGCGGTTTTTCAAAACCGTCAAGAACCGCGGTAATTTCACATCGCGGTTTTCACCGGTATTCAAAACCGAATAAAAGGTCTAACTTTCGCCGTTTTTTTGAACCGCTGGAAACCGCGGTTTATTGGACCGCTATATACCGCGGTTTTCGTAGCCACACCTGACACAGGTATGACCAGACTCACCTGAACTTTCGAAAACGTTCAGATGAGCCGCCCTTCGAGGGGCACTCTAGTGAACTTTTAGAAGTTCCATTACCACAAAGTTACATTGTAGTGAGAGATAGAAAGAATAAGAAAATTTATTTAAAAATTTCATGAAAATAGCAGGGCACGACATCCTCTTCGTCCTTACACATTCCATTACGATGGTATAAGCACCAGACATAGCGCGGCTCTTCAGCTGAAAACCGCGGTTATTCGGCGGCATACCGCGGTGTCTAAGACTGCTGAATACCGAGGTATTTGTCACCGCGGTTACTAATGACTATACCGCAATTTTTGAAACCGCTCAATACCGTGTTATTTACCACCACAATTTCTGATGGCTGTACCGCGGTTTTTGAAACTACTCAACACCGCGGTATTTGCCACCACGGTTAGTAATGACTATACCAAGGTTTTTGAAACCGCTCAATCCCGCAGTATTTGCCAACGCGGATACTAAGGACTATACCGTGATTTTATAAACCGTTGAATACCGGATTATGCAATACCGCGGTTTCCAATAACGATATCGCAATTTTTTAGGCCGTTGAATACGCCGGTATTTAGAACCGCGGTCCTGAATACGAGCAACGGGGTTTCAGAAAACCGCGGTTCAAAAAAACCGCCATCAACCGCGGTTATCCAATTGAAACCGTGGTCGAATGAAAAACACCGCGGTTTTAAGGGTTTTTTTGAAAAAAATTTTCCATGGGAAGTAACAACTTTTCATTTCTAATAAAATATTTAACATCTCATAATAAATAACTAATTCTGTATTTTCACATTTTTCGTATATTAATAACTAAATGATCTACTGGGAAATTTTCAAGCAAAATTCTCGAAGAGTGTTTCATTCGAGTTGAACAATTAATATTGTGAATGAATATCGAACATGTGTGACCTTCGAAAGTATTTTTCCAAGAAAACACCAATTGTATTTTTTTTGTATTTTAGACTTTTTTTTTTGGTAGAAGTAAATGTGTTCTTTCTGATGGAATGAAATTTAATTTAATTTCAATCATATATAATGACTTGACAACTATACAATGACTTCAAACAGGATGAAAAACATGTAAATAAGGTTATTTTGATCAAACTATTCAAAAGAAAAGAAAATAGTCAAATTCAAACCTTTCAATAAACTGTCACATTGATTATTCTATAAAATCGAATAAAAATAGTCTCACCAAATAAACTTTGAACGACATATGCCAGTTTTTTCTCAATACCCTGAATAATCTCATTCGAAATCATACTTCAGCAAATTCTAAAGCAAAAACAAAAAAAAAACTTTGAATCTTTTTGTTTTTTAAGTAAATAAAACTTTCGAAAGTAAAACATGGTTAATATTTACAATATTATTTATTCAATTAAAGGTTCGAATCAAATATTCTTCTAGAATCTTTTAGAAAGTTTTTTTTTAATTTTATATTTTGATAATAAATAAGAAAAAAAAAAACTAGTTGAAACTCTATAAAGAAAACTTTAAAATACAAAACTATCTAAACTATTTGATAGCTAAAAAACACATAAAAGCCATTAGTAGAATCCGTACAAAATAAAAATATGAAACACAATATAGAGATGCTGTTGCTAATTCGAGAAGATTGTTTTATTCATATGCGTTTATACTTTTGAATTATCATGTTTTTTAATTTTAATGAAAATATTCTTTTCTATGTTGAAATATATTTAATAGAGAATTGAGTGATATATATAATAATTTTCAATTAATTTACCTTGTAAGAAATCTTAATCTTCTTCGTTACAACATTAACTAATCAAGATAGACTATAAGATACAATTTAGATAAGAAAAACATATTTATTAACAAAATGAAAAACAAAAAACAAGTGACTATTTTCTTTTTTTGAATAATTTTTAATATAAATACAAAAGAAATTTTTGACTTTGACAGTTGTTAAAAAGAAATGAATTATGTATCAAGTTATGTATTATAAGTTTTTATTTGATTAATATCAATCTATATTATTGACGATATACTAATATTCATCAGAAAGCATCTGATAAAATTTATTTTTCTAGAAAATAAAATATTCTTTTATTTTTTTTGTCCTGTCTCATTTGTCAATGTTGATCTATGAGAGACCAAACTGTAGAACTTACGATATCTGAATGATATAAATAGAGAAGCTAAAATAATTTATTGAAAAATATGTCAAACAAATTTTCTGAAGTATCTTCAATACACTACTTTTTTTCTTCTAATGATTTAACATGCCATAGGAAGTAGAAAATAACATTTTATTTGTCGTCTCGTTTATTCAACCATGATATTATCTAGTAATGTACATTGATTTAATTGTTTAATCAGTTTCCGAGCACGCTATCCTTTCTATCGATACACTTCAATATACATATTGTTCTAACTTCTTGTTCGATCTTCTCACTATTCAACTGATGGAAACCTACAATAAGATCGTTTCATTACATTAAATAGTGAAACTCACTATCTGTAAACTATTCAAAATCTAATGATAGACAGTTTTAGATTCAAAAAAATGCTTTAGAAGATTCTAAAAAGTTCTAGAATAATCTAAGTACTGTTATGACTGATACATCATTTTCTTTTTATTGCTAATAAAACATATGAAATAGTCTATAGTATATATTTTTCTAATTTTCGATTATAAGAGTTGCAAAAATCTCGATATAAACTTGCATTAATTATATTTTATTTGAAAATCTAAATGAGTTTCACAAAAGAGTTTGCATTTGAATACATTTTAATATTACAATAAAACAAAGATTTTATTCTCAAGATAAATTTAAGTTCGAATTTAAACATTGAAAACAAAAATGTTTATATCTCTAACAAAAACTTTATTTTATTTAAAATTATTCTGATAGAAAAACGTTTAAAAATTAATTAATTAGATGTTAAAGAATTTCAGAATATTTTTTTTGTTTTGTATTTCGTATAATATTAACAAATAATGAACAGTTCATTAAAATGAATAATGTAATTAAATATGATAATTATCTATATATGTTGCGTCATTTGTATCGGACCGTTGTTGAGAAGTATTAGAAGAATGTTTAGATTCAATTCTATATCCTAATTCATCCATATCTTTAGTAACAACATTAAAAACAACTTGAACATAACCATGAGATTGAACTCGTGTCACTTAAATATAAAAATATATTCTTGATTTACATAAAACAAACAAGAATAATTCAATTCATATTACTTTCTCGGCCAGCATTAAATGCAATAACTTTTGGATCAATAAATTCTGGTCGACGACCAAAAAACCAAGCTAAAAGTTGTTGAAATCGAGATGATGAACGTGGAACAAAAAGTGGAATACGAATACGATGTCTTCAATAAAATAAAATAACAAAAAAATTGAATATAAAATAAATAAAATATACCGTCCCGGACTAATTGGTATATGAGTTGTTCCATAACCTCGAACAATATCATTTCCAAAAACATCTAAACCATAACCACTAATAACTATTTGTGGCCCTAATATAATCAAATAAAATAGATTTATCTTAGAAAAATAATTTTCTTTTTTTGTTAAATACAAACATCCAAAAGGACTTGTTGATCGAAATGTAGCTTCTAATGGAAAATTAAAAACTATTTTTGATCCAACTTGAACACTTTTATGTGCTATTTGTGTTGTACCTTCTTCAAGACCCTTTAAATAATATTTTAGATTTATTTATTTATATTTATTAATAAAATAAACATACAGAACATATTTTCCAATCTTTTCCAATAACATAGGAAAAACGAAGATAAAGATCATCGAAATCATGGACCTTATTGAGATTTTTAATTAAAAATAAATTTAAAAAAAAAAAAAAACTTTTAATACTAACTTCAGCATTTTCAATAGCTCCATTTATAAAGACAAGAAAACTCGTTGGTTTTGTATTCATTTTTTTGTCTTTAAGATGAACAATAAATGTATGAAGAAATTACTCATTATGGTTTATCATTGTCATGAAACAACCTCCATTGAATAGAATGATCAATTTTCACCTATTTTATTGATTATTTGCGACATCTTTTTACAATTTTCGTTTTTTTTGACATATTTAAATATTCAAATATAGTCTACTAGTTTGATTGTTAAACCATTGATTCTTGTAAATTTTAGTTCTGATAAATAAGAATATATTTGCCTTTGTTTTTTTTAATCAAATAAAAATGAACATAAAAAATTGATTAAAAAAAAATAAAGATTTATGTTGCAAACGTAAATATTGAGGAACGAAAAAAAAAATAACGAAGAAATAAAACATTACTTAAAAGAGACTATGTTGAAGAAAAATAAAAAAAAAAAATAAAATCACTGAGGAAGAATTTCATGTCTAGTACATTTTTTTTCTTTTCGTTCCCAAGCATTAAAACCGATCAAGCAAATGATCATAAGAATAATTTTTCTAAAATTGTAAAATAATATAAACAATCAAATATGTCTAATGGATCAATGGTCACCGTTGGAAATGGACAAACTTTGTCCGATTTATTTCATAAATTTATTCGAATGACTGTTAAAACAGATGATCGAGATGGACGATTTAAAAAACATCATTCCATTTCAAAAACTCATCAAAAAACAGTTTATAATACACCTAATTCACAACGAAGTCGACGTTTAGTTGTTCAAGCAACTTCTCGAGTACCACCAAATCCACAAAAACGTACTTCCACTATTGCTTATTATAATATGTCACCGTTTACAACTGAAAATAATAGTTATATTCATACTGATGATGAAGAACAAGATAGTTATTATTCATACCATGTAAGATTTATCTAATTGTGATTTGTTTCTATATTGAATATATGAGTTTGATTACGTCATTAAAATAGAGTTGAAAAGAAAAATAAGAATAAGATTTAATCGAAAGAAAAACAAATAATGCCTAAAGAGTGTTAGATATATTTTTATTAGACATTAACATAGATGAAAAAGAGTTTCTTATTAAATGAATGAACAAAATTAAAAAAAAAAAAGAGTTTTTAACTTGAGGCTAATGCTAATAATATACAGTGCTATAGGATTGACCTTGGAAAATTTATAAAGAAATAATTTTTCCTATATTCGTTGTTCTTTTTTTTTTGTTTTTCCAATTTTCTTACCTGATCAATTTTCAAGAAAGTACTATTATAAAAAAAGAAATGTTCATCCTATGACTTTTATTTAATAATTATGGACATTTTTCTACGCAACTCTATCAAATATATAAGAAAAAGAAAAAAACGTAAAAATGAAAGTGAGAATATGTTTGATGTATTGAATATTTTTTTTTTTTTTTTTAAACGTTTGATGTATGTCTGTATATATATATATTTGTCTAATCCCATTAAAATGGTATCGACAAAGAGAGAAAAAAAAAAGTGAGAAGAAAGTAATTGTGTCCTTGTTTACATGTGTGATCGACAGTGATCGAATCATAAATAACAGAAGACAGCAACGAAACATTTCTATAGAATAGAATAATGTTACTTACAAAAATGCGAGATAGTAAAGGACCGTCAACAGCTAAGGTCTCAGTTGCTTGTGTTTTTTTTTATTTTTTATTAGATTTTCTATTATGTTTATTCTAATTGTGATTTAGTCGACAAATGCAACTAATGCTGGTTATGGATCACATCATCAAAATACAAGTGGAATAGATCTTCGTGATATGGATGCTTCATTTGGTGATATTGGATTAAGTATTACATCAAAACCATTAGCAAAAGTCCAAGTTTGTATTGTTTTATTTAATATATTTTAATAAAATAAAATATTTTTATTTATAAAGAAATTGTCCGTTCAAACAGTTCTTAATGGATCATTTCCACGAGTGAGTGATAAACAACAAACAACATCACTTGTAACAGGTATTACACGAAGTGGAAAATCATTTAATATATTAAATCAAACATCAAATCATGATTCTTCATTACCATTTTTAAATAATTCAGTTGGATCACCAGGAGCATCAGCCCGACTACATCATACAACTGTTCATCATCATTCTCATCATCATCATCATGGAGCTGCAGCAGCAACAGCAAGAAGTTTACGAAGAGAAAGAACTCGAGAAGGAAGTCTTAAATCATCATCAAAAGATACAGATCTAACAAGTAGTCATCATGGATTTCAACAACAACAACAACAACAACAACAACATCATCATTCTCATAATACAAGTGGTTCATCTATTGTTTCAAATTCACATCAATTTTCTCGTTCAAAAAGTTTTTTTACAAATACATCATCTGATAGTATTAATAAACCTCCTACTTTTCCAATGAAGCCATCTGGTTAGTTTATATTATTCATTTTAGAAGAAGAAAAAACTTTATAAATAAATTATTTATTTATTTTTAATTTCAGAAGCTTTAACATATTATGGTGATAAATTAACTGAATTTGAAAAAACTGAAATATTTGATTATAATGAAATATATTTTCTTGGTTTGGAAGCTGAAAAAATATCTGCAACAAATATTAAAGATTATGATGATGAAAATGGTTCTTATATGAAAATGAGTAAAGATCATATTTGTTATCGTTTTGAAATCTTAGAAACATTGGGTAAAGGTTCATTTGGTCTTGTACTTCGTTGTTATGATCATAAAAAAAAAGAAGCTGTTGCATTAAAAATAATTCGAAATAAAAAACGTTTTCAACAACAAGGTCTTGTTGAAGTTAATATATTAACACATTTAAAAACATTAGATTCGGATAATTCATTAAATGTTGTTCATATAAAAGAACATTTTTATTTTCGATCTCATCTTTGTATTACATTTGAATTACTTGGGTAAGAATTTTTTTTTTATTTTATTTCTTTTTAATTTAATTTAATATTTAGAATTAATTTATATGAATTAATTAAAAAAAATAATTATCAAGGTTTTAGTGTACATTTAGTCAGACGTTTTGCTAATTCACTTTTACAATGTCTTCGTGTTATGTATAGAGAAAAAATAATTCATTGTGATCTTAAACCAGTAAAATTTATTTATTGTTAAATTTTTATATCAAATATAAAATATTTTTTATTTTTTAGGAAAATATATTATTAAGACAAAAAGGAAGCAGTAGTATTAAAGTTATTGATTTTGGATCTGGTTGTTTTGAATCACAACGAAGTTTGTTTTTCTTTTTCTTTTTTGCATTTGAATTTAGAAAAATCTTTATGAAATTTGTTTATTTTCTTTTAGTTTATACTTATATTCAATCGCGTTTTTATCGAGCACCAGAGATTATCTTAGGTATACCTTATACACCAGCGATTGATATGTGGAGTTTTGGTTGCATTCTTGTCGAACTATTTACTGGTATGTTAACATTATTATTAAAAAAATTAATTTATCTTTATTAGATTATGATGACATATATTATGAAGATATACTTCAATATATGAAATATTTTTCAATAGTCTAAAACGAAAAAAGAACTCGATTATATTTTCTACCAAAACTATATCTTTATCATAGGTTCTAGTTAAATATTGACAAAGTTCAATGTCGAACTCATTGACCTAAGTAATAATTGTCTGTTTTGACTTTTCTATTGCATCAATTATTGATACATTAGAAAATATTGACTTCATTCATTTCTAATTCTTATGATTTCCATATATTTTCTTTTGTACACTACTTAAAATGCAAAAAATCATCTCTATTCATTAGAGTTGATCACAATTGGACCCGATCGTCTTTACTTTTCATTCGTTCTTGATTTGTTTTTGAGTAAGACATTATGATGAGTCTTGTTGTTTATAACATAGAAAAACCGTACCATGCAACTGCAAAAAAATATTAACGAAGGGAAAAGGAAACAAGAGATTGTTAACATGAAATGTAGAATGGCCAAGAAGTCGATATTTTGAATATTCATGTGCACTGATTAAATGATGAAATAATAAAAAGCTTTTTTTTTTTGAGAGTAGAAATCATGTAGAATTCATATTAATTTCAATGTTCATTTAGCATATATTTAATAAGTAGATTAAATGGCAATAGTTTCTAGTTGAAAACAAAACTAGTAGTTATATTTATGAAAAGATAGAATATCATTGGGAATCGTATCAATTGAGACCATTGTATAGTTCTGCTGAGCAACAGCAGCACTATGAAATATATCAATTAGGTTTTTTGCAACAATGAATAAGAACTTCGAACAAGGAGAATAGAGTTAGACATTATTTTGTAATTTCGATTAATTTTTAGTTAATGTCAATATATTATAATATAATATTGTATTTATAAAGGTTATCCAATATTTCCTGGTGAAAATGAACAAGAACAATTGTCAATGATAATGGAAGTAATTGATTTACCACCAAACCATGTTCTTGAACAAGGAACTCGCAGAAAATTATTCTTTGGTTTGTTTATTTTTCAATAATATTTAATAAGATTTAAAATAATTAAAAACAAAAAAAAATTTAGATTCCAAAGGAATTCCTCGAACAGTCGCAACAAAATCGTTAAAAAAACGTCGTCCAGCTAGTCGTCCATTAGGACAAATTCTTCGAACAACTGATAATAATTTTATTGATTTTATTCGTCGATGTTTTGAGTTTGTTTTAAATGAAAAAAAAGAAAGGATTTTCTTAAAAGATTAATATATTATTTAGATGGGATCCTGTTGAACGTTTAACACCAGAAGAAGGTTTACGTCATCCATGGATTGTTGAAACAAAATTAAAACGATCATCACATGAATCACGAACACGATATAAAACAAAAAAAGATGATCATAATAATACTACGAATCATAATACATCAATAATTAATGGAGATTCATGTTAGACTTTTTATTTTTGATTAATTATTTTTTTTAATTTTTATTTATAAATAGATTTTAGTTTAAATGAAACAACTGGCCATGAAGATACTGTTGCAATTGAAGAAGATAAACAAATAAGAAATGGTGGTTCATCAACAATGTTTCCTCGAATTTCTAATCAATAATCAATCGGTGACTTTATTATTATTCAACTCAACTCAAAAAAAAAAAAAAAAAAAAAAAAAAAAAAAAAAAAAAAAGAATAGCGTTCTTTCATTTTTCTTTTTCTTTGTACAGAACACCGATTTATATCTTTTGTTATTCCATTTTTTTTTTTTTTCTTTCTTTCTTAATAATTTATCAAGATTTTTTCAATTTAATCATTGATGATTGTTTTAGGCTAATTAACAACAAAGAAAACAATTTATTATTTTATAATATTCATTGAAAATAATTCAATAATCTATGTCTACAAGATTTTTTTGGCATAATATGTCTTGCCAATTTTCATTCGATGAAATTCATTGAAGAAAATTATAAATAATCAATTAATATCACGATTTCATTTTCTATATAATAATATATATTCAAAATTCTTTTTTTCTAACATATTAATGCTGATGGATAAAATTTAATATAGATAAAAAAAAAAAAACAATAATCTTTCTTAAAGTAAGCAAAGTAAGATTCTTTTTGTTATTTCTAATGTCTTTGGTTCAGATTTTGGGACAGTTATGATTTTCTAACTTTAATCATCGACTAAAGTGAGTAAAAAAAAACAAAACAAAAATTCAAAACATTTTTTGAAACATCATTCATCAAATGAGAAGAGATCTTTTAATAGAAATTGTTCTTTTTTTTGTCGAATTTCAGTACTTAGATGTTAGATTTTTCGATCACTTATAGTCATGAATGAAGAGTAGAGCCCGTCGGGTCCAGAATTTTTGGACCCGGACCCGGACCCGGACCCTGGCCCAGGATTTTGGACCCGGACCCGGACCCGTTTACAGGTTGCTGGACCCGGACCCGGACCCGGTCGCTTAAATTTTTTGGATCCAAACACAATGACAAGTCAGTTTAGATAGTATAGTCAAGAAGGGTTTTGTTGTTAGTGTACTCAAAAAGTGAGTACACTACTAAAATCGGTCTGTGTGTCCGTCCGGCCGGCCGTCCGTCCGTTTACACGATAACTTTCGAAAGGAGAGTCAGATTGCGATGAAATTTTCTACACAGCTTAGTCTTGACAATATCTCGGTCGAGTTCGAAGATGAGAAGGATCCGTCAAGAAATGGCTGAGTTATCGAAAAAATTGTGATTTTTGACCAGACCATCCCTGAGGGGGGGTACGGGGATTTTTCGAAAAAACATTTTTTGCTCATAATTATTCACAAAATACATAAATCGACTCAGTTTTTAACGCTGATTCTGAATCTGATATTAGTTTTGACCTAAATCATAGTTTTGTGTACTCAAAAAGTGAGTACACTATAGAATAGTAAGTGTGTCCGTCCGTCCGGTTGGCTGTTTACATGATAACTTTCGACAGCAGAGTCAGATTGCGATGAAAATTTCTACACAGCTTAGTCTTGACAATTTCTCGGTCGAGTTCGAAGATGAGAAGGACTGGCCGAGCCGTTCCTGAGTTATTGCAAAAATACCCATTTTGCCCTATAGCTTTCTGTGGAAAAATGGACCCATCGCGATTTTCGTAAAAGACTTTTCCTATCATAGTCAATTAAAACCCGAACTATTATATACCATTCGATAGAGAATTTCAAGAGCTACAAAATGATATATAAAACATAAAGAAACAAGAAGGTTGACTTACCTATGACAATGATAATTAAAGAGAACTAGGTTATATTTTTGTCCACGATCTAATTCATCCACAAATAGAGCTTTATCTTCCGGTCACACTGATGATACTTCGAGGTTTTCAGATATGGAGAACTCGAATGTGTACTGCACTTCCATCGAAATACTATTAGTTGTGCAGTGACCAATACAAATGAAGTTATAGGGAAAACGACTTTCTCAGGGTAACAAGGGAAAGAGTTCCAACTTGAGCTGTATTCGGTCCCATGTCCTATTGGTTTGGCAACGCGCAATAGAAATCAACATTTTAAATGGTAGATTTCACAGTATAATTTTGATATTCAGACAGTCTAGGATGATTAATTTGTATGATTCACTTTTTGAAGTACACATAACTCTCGGATTTAAATTCGAAGTTTCCGCATTTATTTTTTATCTATTTTCTAAATACATTTGATCTCTTCTTTGTATAAAACGAACAAAACTTTAAAAAAATTCAAAATAAATTGTATGGATCAAAGTTTTCTTCAGACCTGGATCCGGTTAAAGCAAAATTTTCAGACCCGGACCCGGACCCGGACCCGGTCAAAATAAAATTTTTGGACCCGGACCCGGACCCGGCCAAAGTAAAATTTTTGGACCCGGACCCGGACCCGGACCCGTGCGGGTCCAGGTAGGGTCCGGGTCCGGGTCCTACCCGACGGGGTCTAATGAAGAGAGAAGAAATTGTCGATTTTCTACATCAATTTTTACTCTATAAAAGTACTTAACAATAAATAATTTATTCTCCTATAATGTTAGCAGAGATCTAAATAGTTATTTAAATATTCAATGATCTTTGCTATCTAATCGATTCTACAGAAAGAATTCATAGAAGAACTATGACGACATAGTTTCTAGAAACACAAAAGGACACGGGACTTTTTCGTATTGCCGAAGACTTTGTTGAAATTCTTTTTTCTTTTTTTTTGTAACAATATTCTGAAGAAAATGTAAGATCATCGTTCCATTCAATCGTTAAAAACCGTGAAGTTGTAGAGAATATGATGATTCTTCGTTTTGTTTATCATGTTGTATTCTTTAACATAATGTTGTGGAAGAAATAGTTTCAAAAAAGTCTTCTAGTATTTTAAAATTACCGTATTCAGTTTTTTCAAAAACTTATCATCTTGATTTAATCTATAAAATGTCAATATAGAATTCATTATATAGAAAAAGTTAATTAGCTACAAAAATCAATATTTATATTTGAGTGTAGGTGTTTAAAACATTATAAAAAATAATATCAAAAGTACGTTGTTGTTGTTGTCAATTTATTTATTCACTATTTAATATGATAAATTCTGTACAAATATTATGTTTGGTTTCTCTCAATCAATTAATTTTAAGGCAGAAAGAAAAAAAAGTGGAAAATCTCTAGTTATAAAAACAGAGTGAAATTTTGATTTTAGTTAATTACATTTTATTGAATTTATTGACATAGAATTGAACGAAAATTGACGAGACATGTTGTACAAAGACTTTCTACATAAATGTTAGATTATAATGTATTAAGTTTTAGAAGATTGAAGAAAATATTGTTACTTTTGTATTCATAATAGAACAAAAGAAAAAAAATCATTGTGAATGAATGATGATCATCAATGCATCGTCATTGACAAATGAATCTTCTCTATTTGCTTTTTCTTCTTTTTTGACAAGTAAAGAATATTGATCTTTCATTAGAAATAAAATCAATATTTGAATAATACGAAAAGAAATGATTTTTAATTTTAAAGAAGAGGTCCATTTTATTTTTGTTTTAATCAGTGAACTATCAATATAGTATATATATGATATTATGGATATTAGTCATTATTCACAAACGAACTATTATTTTATTCTTATTATTAACTTATCTTTATTCATTCAAGGTTCAATTTTTATTTCTATTTAAAAAAAAGATTAAATCATATGTTTTATATTTAGGTCAATTCTATTTACCTAATGAATGTTTTATGACATTTAATAATGCATCAATAATATTTGATCCTTCAAATCCAAATGGAACGTATGATGAATTTATTTTTTTGTTTTTATTTTTCTAAATATTGTTTTTTCTTAGTATATATATATGTCCATCATCATGTTATACAAATCGATATCTATATAATCAACAAGAATATCCATTATTTGGTAATGAAACATATTCAGGAGTGAGTTAAGATTTGAAAATCATTAAAAAAAAAATTCTTTAAAAAAATATTTTTCAAGAATTCGTTAATATGTAAAGCAGCTTTACATGATGGTCGTATTGCTCTATGGAATAGAGAAAATTTAACAGTATTAATAAGAAATAATTCATTTAAATCATCAACATTTATAAGTACTCTTAGAAATGGAATTCTTTCATCGAAATCAGTTGGTTATTTAGATTTTGTTTATCAATTTATTAATTCTCGAATAAATGGTTTGAATAAATAATATTTAATATAAAGAATAATAATAATAATAATAATTAATTTAGAAAGTTCTATACCTGATGTAGCTATTGAACATCGAAGATATCTTTATTCTCAAAATGAATCATCTAGTATAACATGTAGAAGTAAATCTGATATTTATTCAATTCAACCGATTAATATTGATCAAGGATGTATGACATATTTAATTAAGAATCAGATGATTATTATAGAAATAATATTTTTGTTATTGTTTTTATTTTAAGGGAAACATTGGACAGAAAATCGTTTAAAATATTTTACATTTCCTCGAAATTTAACTCGAATTCAATCATTAGATTTTTGTTTGAATAATAATGGAACATTAATGTATTGGGCGAATTCAACTGAACAAGAAATACTTCAAAGTAATATAATTAATTATTGATTTATTTGTTTGTTTGTTTTTGCTTTTGTTTTGAATAGAAATTCTTTTGACAACAATTCATCAATTATTTCATTTTCAAAGAAGTTCATCTAATAATAATACATTAACTTTTTTTATTGGTTTAAAACAAATTAATCGAAATAAACAATGGGAATCAAATGTAAGATTTTATTAAATATATTTTACTTTTGTAAAACAAACGAAGTTAATTGATACAATCATTTTTTTAAATAAAAAAGTCTACATTTATTGAAATTGTCATTAAAAAAAAAAAGTTTCAGCTCGATCTAAGAATAATTAGATAGTGATGGATCTTTTGATCCGCACAATATATTTTAACGATAAAATAATTGATTTAATATAGATTATATACTAAACACGAAATATCCGAAGTCCTTATTTATCTAATATAAGGACTTTGGTATGTAAGACTTTTTAAAAAGATAAAATAAGTATTAAAATTTATCGTTTGAATGATGACCAAAAGATACTGGTTGAATGTCTTTTTAGAGTTTCATTGAAAAGTAAAAACATTTCGAGGTTGAAAAAGGAACAAAATGCCCTTAATGAACTTGATTTGTTTTCTTTTCTTGTAAAACTTAACATAGGTTATATCATATAATGAATCATTGGAAATAAATTCTAATTCAATAATAAATGATGAAGATTATTGTACAATAATTCAATCAAATGGTTCTAATACTCAATCAATAAGAATATATGATCATAAATGTGATGATATAACTATTCATGGATATCCACTTTGTCGTCTTTTACGTATGTTTAATTAATTATTTATTAAATAATTATTTATTATTTATTATTTTAAATAGCATCTGTTATAAATGATGAAAATGATTTTATTTATCGTATTGAAACAGATAATGAGCCAAAAAATTTAATTGGTGTTATTGATTATTGTTCGGAATTAGGTGGATATCCAATTTATGCAAATAATGCTTATGAATGGCAATTAATTCAAGGTATTTATATACTATAGATTTCAATTTATTTTAGTTCATACGAAAATCTTATAACAATTGAATTTAATTAGTTAGTTAATATATTCTTATTATTCAACTATTAATAATTATTTTTCGTGTTGATTTATGAATCATGAAACTATAAGTTGATGATCATATCTTATATATTTAAATTACAATTAAATAATATTATGTTAAAAGCAGATTTTATTCATAAAAAATTAATAATATATGATCATCTCATTATTTAAATGAATATTATCTTTATTAATTATTGATTTTTAGAAGCATCTCAATCTGTTCATTTTTGTTTTGATTTGCAATATATATAGATAACATTCTCAAACATAAAGTCTTAAAGGGAATATTTACTTTTGACTGATAAACTTAAAAGACACTTTATATGAGATATATATATATGCTGAAAACTGCATCAACTCGCTATATTGGTAAGGCTTACATAGGAAATTCTCCTCAATAGGTAAATAGTCTTTTAAATGAATCGCACTTTATCAAATAAGCCCAAATGTAACTAAACAAAATCTATGTTCATGGATGTTTCTAGTTGAATTAAGATAATTTTAATGAATTTTTCAAGAAAATATCGTTATATCCATTAGATCATTTTCCGAAAAGATTTTCGAATTTATAGTTCAAACGTTGCACAAATAAATTTCTTTATAGAAGTAATTCATTGTTGACGAAATTGCATTGAAAAATTCATTCAAAGGATCATAACTCATTAAGCAAGTCTTATTAATGTTTGTAAAACAACAAAATATTACATTAAATAATATACAGTCTATCGTAGTCTCAATTCAACTATCATCACGTCTAAATTTAAATTGAGTCAAAATTATTCATTTTCTAATTTTTGTTCGTCTCAAAAAGAAAAAAAAAAGGATTTTTCTTATATCATTTTGAAAAAACTTGTAACTATTAAATATATATTCAATAATTTTCTATTATATTTGTTTTATTATTGTTTCATATTAATTATTTATATTGAAAGATACATAGTTTTATTTTCAATTCTATATTTATAGAAATAATGTTACAAGATTCAAGTTTTAATAGTGATTATGTTTATACGGGTTTAGTATCTGAAACAAAACAAGTTGAAAATTCATATTGGTCACCAAGAAATATTTCTGTATGTATTTATATATATGTTAATTAATCTATTTAAAACAAGTGAGTTCTATTTAGTATAATAGTTCATTAGATTATATATGGTTTGGTGTCAATCGAGGTAAAGATCGAACAGGATATCATTTATCAAAAGCGAATGATGAATCCTATTATGGTTTATATGATATAAATCCATATTCAAATTTAAATACTCTTCGATTTTGTCGTAAAGATGATATTCGATCATTAATAAAACAATCTTCATCATGTTATTATAAATCTTGTTTATCAAAATGTTTAAATATTACTTTGCCAAATCAAAGTGATGATATAAGATTTGGTTTTTATGCTTGTATGCCAAAAGATAGTTTTATTGGAATTGTTTATACACAATCATTTCCTGAATATGGCGATTTTATTCGTCCTAATCTTCCAATGGATTATAGTGTTGCACTCCGAAGAAAATATAATGAATCATTAATATTAAGTTTTGAACAGACAGATAAAAATGTTCGTTATTCATGTTATGAATATATAAATTTTGATAAAATTTCAACATTAAATGATACAATAAAATTATCATGTGATTCATCAAATACAAATAATAAAACAATGAATGGAATTAGTTTTAAAAAAGATTTTAATGGTCTTATATCATTTTCTTTAGAAGATAAACGAATATCTGGACATCATACTAGATTTATTGATTATCAACTTTGTAAATTTATTTTCATAAAAAAAACAACAAAAAGTAACAATTATTTTATTTTACTTGTTAGATGATAGTCGATGTAATAATCAAGGAATATATCATCCATATATAAATCAATGTATTTGTGCACCAGGATTTTATGGAGATCAATGTCAATATAGTAAATAAATAATAATAATAATAATAAATATTATTATTGGTTTTTGTTTTTGTTTTTATTTGTAAAGGTTGTCCACCAGGTTATTACGGACAAACTTGTGATTATTATTGTCAAGGTGATGATGATTATTGTAAAGGTTTATTAATATGTTTACCTGATCCATATGGATGTTCTTGTTATACTGGTTGGTATGGAACGAATTGTAACATAAGTAATAATAAAAGACTAATTTTTATTTATTTATTTATTTATTATCATTGTTTTAATATTTAAAAAGGTTGTCCATATAATCTATATGGACCTGACTGTTCTTATCAATGTTCATGTTCAAATTGTAATAGATTTACAGGTGTTTGTGATTGTAATGGAACAGAATGTTATAAGGGTAATTTCAAGTTTTTCTGTTTTTTTTTACTTAATTTTAATCGCATATATTGAAAAGTCATGTATAGTTAGGTAGAAAACATCTATCGATATATATTCAGTTAAAGCAAAGATTTTTTTTCTAATCCTTTTTCTTAATCTTGTAAAAGTGCAATGAGCAAGTAGTTCATATATAGTTATTGATCATAGATGAACAAGGTTTGTCACCATCTATGATGTGAAGAGAGAAGTGATACTAAGGTGTCAACTATGTTTATGAAGAGTCGTTTCTAACGTGTCTATCATAGTCTGTAAGAGAGAAAGTTGCAAATTCTTCTCGTATATTCTTCAACACTAATTTTAAATCGTATTTGACAATATAATGTTATATTGTTTGATAGCATTAATTTTTAATTAATTCAATTAAATATATTGTCGTGCTTTTCCATAGATACAGAATTTCGATCTCTATTAATTATAATAGTAATATTGTTATATTTATCATTATTTTAAGTATATTTTATTCCAATTAAAATCTTAAGATTTTTATGTCATTTCCTCAATATAAGTAATAGAATTTGTCACGTTATAATAGATTCTTGTAAACAAATTATTTTTTTTATTTTAATAAACTAAAAATGTCTTATTATGATGAACAATAATTTGAATATTAAAATAAATTGATTTCGTTAAGATTTTTTTATTTAATTTCTAATGGAAATAAATCATTTAGTAATATTTGTTTGTTTGACTAAATAGATTAAAAAATAATATATATAAATATGAAATGAGATCTATCTTTTTTTTTTATGTTAATTAAAAAAAAAACTAAAGAAAAACTTTTCTATATTCTAAAATAAATACTAAAATTTGAAAAGAAAAAAAAACATTATTTTGATAAAAAAAACATTTAGGCATCTATAGTCGTATGGAATTAGAATCAAAATGTTCATCATTATCATCATCATCATCATCATCTAAATTAATATTATTAATTGTTATTCCAATAATTAGTGTAGTTATATTAATATCAATAATTTCAATAATATTATATTGGAAAATGATATATTTAAAACGTGGAGAAAATCAAATAAATTATTCTTATCCATCTAATAATATAAATGATGAAAATTTGTAAGATTTTGTTCAATATGATTAAAATGTTTAAAATGACATGGTGGAGATATATCACTTTTTTTAATAAAACGTTTTAATATTTTATGTTTTGTTAAATAATCTGTATAAAATTGATTTTGTTTTAAATATGAATAAAATCTAGTAAAAAGTTTTTCATCATTTAATTCAAAACGTAACATAATTGATGAATTATTTAATGAATGACGAAATGAAAGTGTTAAATTAGTTGGTTGTATTATATTTGATATTGATGTTATACGATCAGACCAAAGTATAAAACCAGTTTTTTCATCAACAATCATTAAACGAAGTTCGGATGAACGTCGAGGATTTAAACCTGTATTATATAACCATATTGGATAACCCCGATGTATTAATTTCCATTGTTCTAATGAACAAACTTGAATATCAGTTAATATAAATAAACGTATTAAACAAGGTGATACATATATTAATGAACCCATTGATGAATAAAGTGATTCAAGACGTTGAATAAGTTGATTTTCATTTATTGGTAATAAATTATTTTCATTTGATTTTCCATCAATTAATTCTGAAAAACGTCTTTGAAGTTTTTCTAATTCTGAACAATTCCATTGATTTATATCTTTATCAATTGTTAATAAAGGTTTTACTATTCCAATTTGTTTTTTTTCACGTCTTTCAATTGAATTATATTCCATTGTTGGTATTAATGATAATAAATCATTTTTACTTTTATGCATATCAATATCGAATAATACATTTGTTTCATCAGGTAAATATACATCTAAACATTTTTTTTTTATTCAAAACAAAAAAATAATAATCAATCAATCAGTCACTCATTTATGTCCTATGTACGGTAAAATATTTATCAAAGGTAACAATATTCAATCAGTTAAAATGATTAAAATATTCTGATATGAAACGAGAGAATTAATATTGACATAAGACTCTTATAAAATCTATTGACATTCTCTCAACATGCTATTATTTTCTTGATTTATTAAACTTACTTATTTGTTGTTTTTGTTTTAAACGAGGTGGTTCTTTTAATTGTTCTCGTCTTTTCAATGGTTCACTTTTCATATGTGGATTCAAACGATTGTTCAATGTCCAAATGATTTGTTTTCCATCAATCGATGTTGAATTATGGTTCGATGAAAAGTTACTTAATTCTTCCATTAAAACAATCTTACATTATAAAATAAGAAGAAGAAAAAAAAAAAAAAAAAAAAAAAAAAGAAAAAAAAAAACTTTCTTATATTATAAAATAAGAAAAAAAAAAAAAAAAAAAAAAAGAAATGACGTAATAGAAATGTTTGCATGTTTTAAAAAATGATGAAAAAAAAAAGAAAGAAAATGAAGGACAGTGTCATTATTTGGGCACTCATGAAATAATTGCACGTTTTAACGGTACATAAAAGCTGCATTTTATCGTCCTTGTTCAATCACATTGTGTATATATGAGGTGCAAGATGCAAAAGAGAGAGAGAGAGAGAGAGAGACAAAGAAAGAGAATAAATGCAACGAAAATGGCTCCTTATTTTTCTTGTTCATGTTAGTTGTTAATCCTCTTATAAGCAAACAAGATCGAACGATTAGAGAACAAAGTGCATCATTATATAATCGTTTCTGTCAATTGAATCTCGTTGTCATTTTACTTTCAACTTGCCGCATGTCAATCGTATTTAAGTATCTTCATATTATTAAATATCGTTTTTTTTTTCCTTCTATCTTATTTACATAAATCAAATTTATTCAAGATTTTATTGAAAAAAAAAAGAAAGTATTGACTAAATGATATTAATATTGATAATATGTAACAAATCGAGTAAATAGATATAAATATTTGTATAACTTTCCTAAAAGACTATATCTGTTAAGTGTTTCTGATTAGTTAAGCAAACAATTGAAAATAATTGGTGATGAGAATGGAAAAGGCTTATTTGTTTAGTTAGTGATGATGTTAAAATGTATCGAAGAGAAAAAAGAACATATGCTGATGATTATAATCTGCGTGACAGAACAACGGTGATTATTTCTTATGGTTGGATATGTTATCTAATGTCAGTCTAGATTAAAAGGTCGTTTATCGAAAAGTATAAACAGAATATAGGAATATATATATTTAATCATTATTGACCGATAAATGACACAATAGATTTACTTACATTCTTATTCAAGGTTTTATAAAGATGTGTCAGTTAGCATTTTTTCTTTTTTTCTTTTCATTATATCATAAAATATATTCTATTTTGTTTTAATTTGATTCATTATAGAGAAAGAAGAGAAAGTTCTTCTTTATGACTAAATCATAACGAGAATATTATTTGTAGAACATCGAAAGAATATAAGTTGATGAAAGATTTCTTTTTTTTTTTATTCTCTTAGGATAAGATATATTCTATTCTATTGTAAAGAATTTTTTTTTTTTTCTTCTTCGATAAATGGTCGATCTCATAGGAAAAAAAGAAGAATGGAAACAAGAAACATTTTGTAAATTAAATCTTAATCAATTAGATTATCAATCGATTCAATAAGAGAAAGATGATTGAGATCTTATCGTCATCAGTTTTACAATATGATTTATCTCGGAGAGAGAGAGGGAGAGAGAATAACCTTGTTCTGTCTGTTAAACAAGAGTGATATTCTTTGCACTACATTACTAAGCAAGAAAATATGAAAAATATGATTTGAATTTGAAGCATATATTTTTTTTTTATTAAACAAATAACAAATACAGAAATTTTCTTTTTTCATGAACATATTATTATAAAAATCCATATTGAGATTGATCAGGACGAATATCATGTGAAATTCATCCTAAAAAAGAAACAACTAATATGTATTCTTTGGTTAATATTGAAGAATACTTCAGAGATCAAATATGTAATTATATTAGCATGTAGATTTTTTTGTTTATTTTTGAATAGTTTATTAATCTCAATAATTGAATATGTTATTGATTCTATATTTATTTGTATAATAATATGATTTTATTCTAAAAATAGTTTCGAATATAAATATATGTAAATTGATCTTTTATTTAATAAATATGTCATCAATTTTTGTTTAAGAATATTTATCAAACAGAAAACAACATTAAAAACAATCTTCTATAGTGTCAAGAAGATTTTCAATCAAAATTTTTCTTAAAAAAATAAATTTTTAAAATTAAAATAATAGAAATTTATCTTCAAATAAAAAAAAAGAAAATTTGTTCATACAAATCCTACAGGAATCTAATAGGAAATATGATAAAGGTTGATGACATAGTAAGAAAAATAATTTTCTAAGATAGGTTTCGATCTGTAAATCGTATATAGTATGAATGCATGTCAATGATGACAGATGATAATTGTAATCTATTGCAGTCAATGTCAAACAAGAAAAAAAGACAGATATCTTTAATTCGACTGTATTATATATTAATCCCATAGTAGATTTCACTCTCATGAGAATACTTCTTCTCTTTTATTAGAAGAGACGGGTTATATTAAAGTATCTATCACTATCTACAACAGAAAAACGACATTGATAATTTGTTTATGATGATCTTTGAAGAAAGATGGCCATCGATAACATGCTGTTTAGATTATTCTTTAGAAACTTAGTAAAATAATCTTTATTAACGTGTAATAGATTGACACTTGATAATTGACGAAATATATATTTATATCGATATTATCATTGAAGTATGTTGTTTTTTGATATAGTATAACAGTAGGCTTTTTTTCTCAAATAAATAATTAACAAATCAACATTATTTACAATAAGAATCATAACTAAGATAAGTTTCAATAATAATGATTACATTGATATTGACTAATTTATACAAAGTCAACTTGAAATATATAAATAGTATCTTTTATTTTCTAGATTTTTGTTTGTAAAGACTTTAATTTTTATTTATAATTATTCGAAACATTTCTTTGAAATAAATCAATGATAGGATTTAATAGGTACAAGAT